ATGATGAGGCCCCACATCACCATGAGAAACGCGAACCAAACGGAGGGCCGCAGGCGTTTGAGGAATATGTTGGACGGAACCTGGGACGGTAAGTTGATTCGCACGTTGTGTGGTGATTGGAAGGCCTTACTAACCTCAAATATGGCGTAGCTAAGGCCGGTTTAATGATACCCATTGAGTTCGGATCGTACGACTCACCTAATGAAGAAAACGGTCAAAGATAACAGATATTGAGTATCAGAGATCTTGAGGTCTTTTTCGAGGTTGTACAGCTAGGAAGAGGTATGATAAGCCCATTGTTGAACTCCATCATCGCCTTGAGTCCCAACGTGCCTTGGCACTGTCAACCTTTGATCAGTTTCAATGATATCAGCTCAGAGTATACTACTCACTTCCCAATACTCGTACGATCCAGGAAGCTGAGGAGGTAGAGTAAGGAGAACCATGGGATTAGGCGTAGGTCGACCCGTCGTATGAGCTTAGCCTCGTCGATTCCAGAGGTATCAATACCCGCATTGTAGAGGTCTTGCTCAGGCTGAACAGAGCCCTTCTCCTCAACCACATGCACGGAGTCGATAGGCGATTTCTTGTCAATGCCCTCCATGGTTGGTGGGAAGTGGGAGAACGTGGGATGCGGAGCTTGTCGACAGAGAAGCCCGAAGCTATCAAGCGCCCACGACTCCGCCGCTCAAATAGAACCACGAGAAGCATTGTCATTCCCCGTCACGAATAGACCGGAAATGACTTGAACGCAGGCAAACCACCCGACGACTAGATGTTGCAGAGAAATCGAGGGGCGAAAGCATTTGACGGCAAAGAATTGGTGGCTGGAGAAATCCGTTAAAAGATGATTCAAGATGTTTTCTCCCATCTATAAACAGCCTGAGGTCAGAGTCTCGCGACGTCGTTGGAGGCCTGGGAAGACGGTGCCTGGTGGCTGTAACTCCATCTCAGTTGATATGACGTGACGTGGTACCGCTGCGGCAGGTCCGCAAGATGCGCGCCTACCCGCGCGCAGGCTATGAAAGAGGATGGTGGTCCAGTCGAAGCGATTGATCTGAACGGGTAATCCCGGTGGCAGTGTAGAGGGTTGATCTCGACTTCACCACACAAGTTTCCCTAATATTTCCCGACCTGAACACGGCTCGACGGCGCCCGTGTCAGCGTCATGTCCCCGCCATGGCATAGCACGGTGATCATTACCCCAGGTTACCCCGCAGTCGCTCGCGGCACGCCGGCTGGACTTGGGCTGGACCAAACGCTGCTGGCGAATCGGATCGCTGCCGTGGCGCAACTGGTCAATAGCAGAACTTTACAAGCTTATCATCTCTGTGCCTTATCGGATGCGATTCAAAAGCTTCTCAAGGTTGGAGTCTCCCACAACATGGGCCGACTGACCGAACAAGACACGGCCGGCATGCAGTCCGATCCAAGTACTGCTGAAGCGTGTCAGCTGAGACGTCAACGGTCCTGAAAATAACGGACATCCGCCAAGCTCAGATGCGTGTTCTTTGGACCCACCGATGTGCGCCTATGGAGGCACATATCAATAAGGTTCGAACAATTCGGCATCGATATTCCAAGGCTCGCCGGTTGGATGCACCACGGTTCCGGAGAAGGTCGAGAAGAACAACCACTGGGTTCTCGGTGGCTGGTGGAAGACAGAAAGTGACGTGTGCGTTGATTAACCCCATTCGCACGGTCTTTCAACATACTTGACCCGCACAAATGACCTTCTGACTTCAGTCCAGTTCGGAACACAAAGCTTCGTAAGTAATATATATTGTGCCGCTTGATAAGAATTGATCTTGCTGCTTGCCCCACACCACCATGGACGACACTAAAACTTCGCCCCCAGGCTCTGTCCGTGTATCAGACAGTGCTACGTCGACTCATACGCCTCCCCTGTACAATGCGGACGTTGATACGAGTGGAGTCGATGAGCGCAAGTTAATAAGAAAGCTGGACATGGCCTTGATCGTAGGTGGTCGCGCAAGTCATGAAAAACACAGTTGACCACCGAAAATTTAGCCATGGCTGTCGTTCTTGTACCTCTTGTCCTTCCTGGATCGTACAAGCATCGGAAAGTGAGTTATTGAGGGCGATTTAATTCATTGTGTTGCTTCTCACATTGTCTAATAGTGCAAAGGTATGCCGGCGCCATTTCGTATTGCTTCTCCCCTGACCTGCGGTTTGTAGTTGTACAACCTGGAAGGGGACCTACACATGACTGACAACCAATACTTAATCTCCTTGACGGTTTTCTTCTTCAGGCAGGCTCTTCTCTTACCTTTCCTTTAACATTAAGCTCAAACCGGGTCCAGTTACGCTATATTTGAGGTCCGTCCATCCCCGTCAATCGCCGCTGGGTTATTCATCGTGTTGGTGCAGGTTCCATCCAATGTATTCTTGAAACGACTACGCCCGTCTATCTGGCTGTCACTCCTAATGCTGCTCTGGGGGATTATGATGGTGAGAACTTGTTCATGTTGAAACGAGGTGGTTCAATTTTGTGACTTTTTTCTCAGACTATCCAAGGCCTCGTTCATGATTACCCTGGATTGGCAGGAATGCGGACGCTGCTCGGGGCTTGTGAGGCAGGTCTTAGTCTCTCATAGCCAGATGTGATCACTCATACCTCGTTTGTAGGCAGGTCTATTCCCCGGTGAGTGTTTCTAGCCTGACCCATATCAAGGAGCTGACATCTGATAGGTGTAAATTATTATCTATCATGGTATGTCTTTTTTAACGGAGTATCCATGCCCTCCGACAATTCTGAGCTTTCAGTTGGTACAAACGTTCCGAATTCGGTGTATGTTCGTTTATCCTGCGTACGCGTCTCCCCCGATACTAACACGAGCGAACTTGTCGAAAGATCAGAGCGGCGATATTCTTTTCTGCCGCGACAGTCTCCGGTGCATTCGGTGGCCTGCTTGCCGTAAGTTTACATTTACCAGATGATTGTGCAATTAACAGTTGGCTTCAGGCGGCCATATCTAACATGGAAGGCATCGGTGGGAAGCATGCATGGGCCTGGATTTTGTAGGTTTGGTTGTATTTGACTCTTCCGGCTTCTAACGAATCATCCAGCATTTTGGAGGGATTGGTGACAGTACTCGCTGGTGCTGCCTCGTTCTGGATCATCCAAGACTTCCCAGACACTGCCACATTCCTCACTGAAGCAGAGCGAACCTTTGTGATCAGACGGCTTCAGTCTGACGATCAATTCTCGGCGGCAGGAGAGAAGTTGAAGATGAAATACATCTGGAAGAGTCTGTTAGACTGGAAGACGTGGGTTGGAATGATAATTTATATGGGCGCCGACATGGTGAGTAAACCCTCAAATCTTGTGGCGAATTGTGTTTACCTGGTCCTTCCCAGCCGCTCTATGCATTCTCGCTTTTCCTGCCATCCATTATCAACCAGGTTTGTCCTTGGTCTTGTCTCATATACATACCCAATCTAACTAAATCCATCCAGCTCGGTGAATATCGTATGCATGCTGGCACTGTGCATTGTTTCAACATTTTTCATCAGGATTCAAGGCGACGCCCGCGAACTTGTTGACGGTTCCCGTATATACTGCCGCGGGTATCATGACGTGAGAGCATTGTCCTGGGCCGTGCTCATTTACTATAACCCACTCCAGCTGCCTCGTTGGATTTTTTGCGGATCGGTACGGCCACCGAGGATATTTCAACCTGTGAGTTCAGTTCAACAGTTATGTGGCGGCCAAACTTAAAACGCGATTTCAGTGGCTGTCTGTGCATAGGTCAACCCTTTGGTCTTCCGCTGCATTCCGAAACTCATCTCCCGTTTCAAAACAGGTGCCGCAGGATATATTATTCTCGTGGCTTCACGAAATGCCGCTCTATCATACTTTGCTGTCTATATGGCCGCTTGGTTCGTGTCACATTTACCATATGAATGTCGATATTGACCCCCCAAAAGCGGCATTTATCCTGTAATTCGTTCGTACTTTCTCGCTAATTTACTTGATTCCCGCGCTAAATCCACTCTGAATTTCAGCGAACACGATGTACGTAGACCGTGGACATTACTCGATTGGTGTTGATTTTATCGTTCTCTTTAGTGCCTGGGTGTCCAATAACGTCGAAGGGTCCTACAAACGCAGTGTCTCGCTGGCTATGGTGATCAGCTTGTGCGTTCGATCCCTTAGACCGTAGACGCGAAGCAATCTCATCCTTCTTTCTTACAGCGGCAATATCAACGGTGCCGTCAGCTCGAACGTGTATCGCTCGAAAGACAAGCCCTGGTATCCTCTCGGCCATGGTACAGTCCCCTATTTCCCGCCGCGACAGATAGATCTGAACGTTCGGCAGGTTTGGTGCTCATGTACATCTCATTTGGCATCATTGCCACCATATCATACCACTTTGCGCTCCGCAGAGAAAACGCGCGCCGTGACCGCGGCGAGCGCGACGAGGTCATCGGCAAGTCTGGTGACTCCGACTTTGACGCCCAGAACGAAAAGAACGGGAGATTCGATAATGTCGCGGATGCGAAGAGAGAGAAGGGGGACGAATGGAGCGGATATCGGTACATCTTGTGAGTCTCTGCGGAGATTTCCGACGAACGATAAAAACGAACTTGGATGACTACTGTATGAACGCAATTTGATTTGATTTGATTTCTTCTTGTGCAGACCGCGCAGCAACGATGAATAGCGCCTAATATTCTGTTCCGGCACTGAAGAACCACGGACACGAAGTAGTGAGATCGGTAAATGGGATTTTCAAGTTTCAACCACGCACGTGACGTGGTTCAATTTCTCTGAGACTGTTCACGGGCTTCCGTTCTAGGGACTCGGGTCCCAGATTTATTTGTGACAGGAAATACGAGCACTGTGGGATCCTTTGGCGAGAAGGTAAACCGATATACCTGATAGACTATCAGGTACCGGGTGCATTACTGACGACTTTTCACTGCCTGGCTACCTTCCCTCTTACCACTGATCATGATGTACCAAAGGCGAATATGGCTCAGTGGTGTACGGTGCACATCTGCAGCTCGTAGATTGTATTTGTCTAAGCTCACGCAGGAGGGACCTCGTTCAATTCGAGGCTGAGCCTTGTCGGAAATATTCGATGGTTTCTCGTTTTGTTCCGTAGACTTTCTCGTCGTTCCTCCCCTTTTTTGAATCCCAGTTTCGGGTGTACACATGAATTTGAATGGGGTCATGACCTGTGGTGATGTGCTATGCACACCGGATACTCGTGGTAATTTCTTTTGGTTACAAAAAGAAATGTTGAAGGGATTTGATTTTTAATGTCTTGCATCCTTAGAATGGACCTTGGAGTCACGGTCTGGTGGTGTATGGTACATGCCTGTGACTCATTGCCAGGGTCTTCGATGATGTTATGCAGGAGGATATCGTTCGATTCGGGATCAGGCCATGGTCGTAAACCATCTTTCTTTTCTTTTCTTCTGCATCTGTTTTTCGATCCCCCTCTGCGCACTGGGACGACGACATTTATTTCTCTGGTGCACGCACTCATCACTAGGTGGGAGCTCGAGCCCGCGGTCGAGGGGAATTGAAGTTCAACCGATATTTGAACCCAAAAAAGGCTGGAAAGAGGGAATCCAACGGTCTTGTATCCTTGAAATGGGACAGTAGAATCATGGCCTAGTGGTGTATGCCACTGTATGGTGCACACCTGCGACTTGTGTTGGAAATCTGGAAGTTAAGCAGGAGGACCTCGTTCGATTCGGGGTCAGGCCGTGGTCAAAGCTTCCCGAAGTTTTTTCCTTGCATTTGTTCTACGTTTCCCGCATTGAAGTATGATATTTATTGTAGCATTCGTAATATTGCCTCCCTAGTGTGTAGGTCAATAGCGCGCACTTGCCCGAGCTCGAGGGCGATTTGTTATTTGAATGAACCAATTCGGGATAAGATGAACAGGGTCGTTTATTCGACGGCTTCAAGGCCACGCGGGATACCATCTCTGAATGCTGAATCTTTTCCTTTTCCCATTTTGCAACGAGGCCGCGCCAGATGCCGGGTTCTTCCTCGGAAATTCAAGTGGTAATTACGATATAATTCCGCTCCGACGTGCATCCCATGGCCAGCACTTAACCCTGGTGTAGGAATATGTAAGTAGTATACACGTACGCGCACGCGTACAGAACGAGGTTACGAGTGTCGTTGTCTGTCAAGAGAGACTCTGCGTACGCGTAACCGGGCCTGAAGGCGCCGTGCCCCTATCCCGGGATGTGGTTGGTTGTGATCAATTTCGGCAGGCAGACGGAGTTGAAGTTGAGCGGTTGAATTTATGGTTCGATTGAATTAGCATTAATTCTAGATCTGGAACGACAATTGTAATGCCCAACGCCATCCTCAGTGAGGTTTGCGCAAGGAGGGAAGAGGGCGATTACTTGACTCAAGTTGACGTGTCGATTACTATACTCACTGTTATCGCACCTGGATCCTGCATGCAGGCGCAAGACGCAGGCACATCGAGGGTGACTCGTAAGTATTGTGCTTGGCAGAGACGGAGTCGAGTCGAGAACGGCGTCTTGATTTCTTTTCTGCATTGGAAGTTGAAGTTAAATCTTATCTGTCAACCGCAGGCTTATCGCAGCTGCGTCGTATGGGTCCATTCAATTGATTCTGGCGGGCCGAGGCAACCACTGCGATAATCCTCACGCTGTTATCGCACCTGTAGATGTGAGCAACATGTACTCGTTCCAGGTCCGACCTCGATTAATATTCGCGACTGGACTCGACCGGAGAACGATCCGAGGCTGACGCCTCGCGTCTGACGGCGGCCGGCGGATCATATCCGAGTCTTACGGCGCCGGCTTGGGTATTCAGTATGCCGGAGAGCGCGCGACGACGCGCGTCCCGATATTTTAATGTGGTTTCCAAGCATCGGCGCTCGAGGTGACGGTGTCCGCGGAGCTGGCAGGGTCGACGAGAACAAAAGGCCAAAAGGCGATGGGAGGTGATAATTGATTGAACGTTTCTGCATACTTACCCCACACTGCGTCAATGGGTTTAATTGAATGCTGGAATGCCCCGCAGTTGATTGACGCGTACACAGACAAGTTTGGCTCGGGGCTCCGTGCTCCTAGGTGCATTGAACAAGACGGAGAACTCGCTCGGAGTTTTCCAGAGGAGAAACAGGCTCGAAGCGGTAAAAGTTGGATCCGGGGTTTGAGGAGGATCCGAAAATATGTAGCGGGGTTGACAGGTGGCCGGGGGTTGAAATAAAACGTCGGAACTTGTGTGTCGTCGACGTCGTTTTGGAGCGGTGTACACAAACCACGCCCGGATAGGCACGGGTTGTGCGATTTGCGTTCCAAATGCGTTTCAGAAGTGGCGGGTGACCTGAATATGTTTTTGTGTGGACGGAGGCAAATCGTGCATGCAGACTCCATGCAGTCTAGCCGCGCATGAGATGAAAAGGGGGTGAATTGGCAAAGAAGAAAAAAAGTGGGTCAAGTGACGGGTGAATACGGGCCGAGAGTATGGGTTGCCGGGTGGCGGTGCACTCCGACTGCGTTCTTTAGTTCTTGCGCGCCCTGGGGAGCGCAAATGGCGCATTACTTGCCTGTCCTGCTCGCGTCCGTGTCGACCAACGCCATCCCAGACGACTCGTCGTTGGTCACCCTTCCCCGCGGCCAGGTCGACTATCTGTCCCATGAGTGGGCCGAGGAGGACGTATGGCGCTCCTGGCGCAACATGACCCGCCAGAAGAACGAAATCGCAAATGGTATGCGTCTCGAGAACGCAAGCTGGCGTACCTGGTGGAAGCAGCGCAACAAGCTCAAGACCGTCACCCCCGAGACCCTCAACTGGTGCCTTTTCCCCTCATTTTTTGGCGATTTTCGGAGCTCATTTGAACGAATACAGGCTGAAGGACTCGGACGTGACATGGCTCTACGGCCCCCTGCACACCGCAGTAGACTGGTCGCCGCCCCCCAAACCCAAGCCTGACCCGACCGAGGTCGGTAAACTGTCGTCCGCAGAAGACCGTCTCGACCTCGCGGGCAAGCACAAGCCCATCCTCAAGTACCGCAGTGTCGCGGAACTGCTCCAAAGTGACCTTCCCTTGTCTCCTGCCTTCAGTCCCGCCGAGAGCGACGACGACGAGAAGGCGTTATTAAATGTCCCCCCCCGACCCCCATTCCTCCATACAAAGAGTGCACCACACATCCCCCCGCTCCCCCATACATCCCTCCGCCGCCCCTCCCCGCCCCGCACCCTGCCACCCTCCATGGCCATCGCTGCACCCAATCCCGGTCGCCGCCACATCACCTTCAACACCTTCGTCGAGCAGTGCATCGCCGTCGACTCGCCCCGCCGCACCCCTCTCTCCCACAACTCGTCCTCCAACTCGTCTTCCGGGTCCAATCTCTCTGGCGACTCCGCCGAGCACCCTACTATCCCTGCGATATGGGACGGGCGCACACGCGGCATACGCTGGGAGGGGAACGACAGCGACGGTGAGGAAGACGACGACGACGACGGGGGCGGCGGCGGCTGGGGTGGTGAGAGCGCCTTGTCCAGCGACTCGGACGAAGACGTGCTCGAGGTCTTCCTCCCCCGCTCCCGCTCCAACTCGTCCCACTCCGGCGGCTCCGGCTCGCGCGACAAGCAGTTCTTCGGCTTTTCCGCCCAGTCGAATCGGAGTGCCAGTCAGGGGAGCAGCGGGAGCGGAGGGAACAAGACGATTGCGCCGATTGCGCCCGCGCGGCTGAAAACGACGGGTGTCGGGAATGAGTGGGGCGCGGGGGAGTGGGTGGGGACGAGGGAGGAGGGCGTGGGGCTGCCGGCGTACGGCAACGGCAACGGCGAGGTGTACCTCCAGCGCTCGAACGCGGCCGTCAACCTCGTCGCGCAGAGCCAGCTCTCCTCCGCGTTTGATGACGCGGACGATAGCTTTGAGGAGGATGTGGATGCGGACGCCTTGGATGACGAGGATCCCACCTTCACCATCCCCTCCTCCAACGCGAGCCCCAACGCCGTCTTTACGCACCGCTCGGCGTACTTTTCTGCCGACGCGGACGGCGCGTACGATTACTTTGCGGGCCCGGATCTTGGGGTAGAGTTTGCCGCGCCTTCGCGGGATGTGCCTCGCGGACGGCGGGGGAGCAGCGGTGCCAGCGCAGGCTCTGCACCTGGCGTGGAGATCCTGCAGATCGAGCGCCCCCGCGACCCACGCTCAAAGTCGCGCTCGAAATCGCGCTCCCGCTCGCGCACGCCCTCGCCCGCGGTGTTGCCCCCGCTGTCTACCTCGCCCACCAAGGGTAACGGTAACACCAACAACAACACCACGCCGAACTCGACGTCGCTGACGCATGCGTACAACGCTGCGACGGGCGTATCGGTGTCCGCGTCTCCGCGCGCCGGGGGGCTTCTCTCGCCTCCAGCGCGTGGCCGGGACTCCTCCCTCTCCTCGTCCTCGTCGGCGAGCCAGGGCCGCGGCCGCAGCGCCACGCGCACCTCCAGCAGCAGCTCGCTCAGCGACCGCGAGCGCAGCCGGTCCAGCCATACCTCTCCCCTCGGAAGCCTGTCTCCGGAGTACAGCGGCGTGCGGAGTAGCATCGTCGGCTCGGACGGGGTTGGGGGCGCTTTTGCGTATGGCGGGGGGATTTCGGGCGGGGGCGGGATGGGGAAGGGGTTGAGGCGGGCGAAGAGCAGTAGTTCGAGTCCGGAGGTTAGTCCGGTGTCGAATGGGACTGAGGGTGCGAGTCCGGAGAAAGCGTCGGTGGCGAGTACGACGAGCACGCTGAACTCCAACTCGAACTCGTCGTCGTCGAATTCGAGTGGGGCGACGGCGACGAGGCCGAGGGTGGAGCTTAACGGCGGGGAGGCGGCGGGTGATTGGGACGGGCGAGGACGGAATAGCAGTCCGAGGACGCCGGCGAACTCGCCTGTGGTGCGGGTGAGGGAGCCGATATATATTTCGCCTGCGGTGAGCCCGCAGCTTCACTCGAACTCGGCGCGGTCGAGTGAGAGTGGGAGTGGCAGTAGCAGCGGGACGCCGACGGGTGGTGGCAACAACAAGCCTACGTCGCCGACGAGCAAGTCAATACCGATCGCGGCGCCGCGGCCGGGGTCGGGGCA